CAAGAATTATCACCTTGATGGTAGACGTCGGTAGTTATAGTTCTCCGGAAACCGTAGAAGCCACGTAATTGAAATTTGCCAAACCGATTAGAGGACGTCTAACTTGGTTTTGCAAGATGCATGTGATGTGGTATAGCCTTCGTCATGATAATGAGCTTATGTATGATATGGTTATATGATGTAACATTAAGTGGTCTGCGCGTGACAGTACGACATGATGGCTGGAGCCAAGGGATTGTCACTTTAATGACCTGCGTGTCAACCTTGTTATTATTCCAACGAAAGTGACAGACATGGTAAAGAGGACCCCAGAGCAAGGTGGCTTCACCAGGCGCAGGAGACCAAAAGTGTTGCCACAACATTTTTCATATTGGTGCCACGTCGACGCTTTCAGAATTTTTTGTGAAGATCTTAGAGGATCATGAAGACATCTCCGACGCCCAATGCTATACCATATCATGCTATTATGAATTTCCTAAAATGTTTATCCCTTTCTGATAGCACCCTTTTGATTGCGCAATAGTTTTTTTATTGGGGTGATCTCTCACAGAAAATATCAAGTTATAAGTGCTCTTCCTAGTGTAGCAACCATCTGCAACACGTAGCTGTTCGAAGTATGTCATGTCTACATGAGTACAAACGGACTGTAAGGTGTAAGGCGGGTGAAGGTTAGACCTCACAAGCAGTAAACACTCGATTATATTGAAGTTCTAGAAAAATCGTTCTGAGCTCGGAGCACGAAGCATCGAAAGATGAACGAGAGTCATATGGAGATATGATCGGCAATTTTTCCTACCGATTGAAGTTCATGTCATCAGTGATTCCACATCAATGGTTGTGAATAAGATCAGGGTCTTGAATCACTCACTTTCAATTATGAGAGATACTGATTTGAGTGGGAGTGCACTTTATATTAAATTTGTTTAAACACTAGAGCAAATTAATTATGAACAATGTCTAAGTGAATCTTGTGTTTATCATTGTAGATCAATGGTTGGCAACATTTTCAACTTAGCCTCCATGTTAGAGAAAGAAAAGTTGGCTGCAAATGCTATGCAGATTGGATCCGGAACCCGAGATTTGTTCTCAGGAGTGCTAAGAAAGAGTATGCACTGGATCAGCCCCTTGGCGATCCTCCCGCCCCAGGTGTGTTGCAAGAAAGTGAAGCTGTTTTGGACGAAAAAGGGTTTCCCCCGCTTTATATATAAAGCAATCAACACCATAATATATCTGAGCAAGCCAATACAAACACACACCACTTCACACAACACACACACACACACACCCAAGGCAAGATACAAAGGTGCCGAGCAGTGACACACCACCCCAACAACAACCAAGCTAACTAAGACACTTGACGTCGATGGAGACCTCCACGGAGTGCAAGTCACCGTGAAGAAGTGAAGCCAGACACGGACGAAGCATGGGCTCCTCGACGGTGCCTCCAAGAAGGGCACGACACCATGGTGCTGTCACCGTCCGATCGCGAAGATCAAGTTTTCACCCGGAGCAGCATGGAGAGGAGGAGAGGCTGCGACGGAGCCTTCATGAACCATCGTCTTTCCTAATAATCAATATACTCAACAGGAACCATCGTCGGCCCGACGTGGCGGACGCGCCCAGGCACCCTCATGTCCGTCCTATATTTGGATTGGATACGAAGGGTGCCGGACAACCCGGATGTTTGAGAGTCTTTTGAGGTGTACGTCTGGTACGAATTTTTGTGACCGGTAAGTGACCGGGCCGTCCGCCCGGGCATTTGAAGTCGGTTTGGGATGCTCGGCTGTAAATGCTCTTACACAGTTCCGTGGCTAACTTTACTAATGTGGGTCAGCTAATCATCTATTCCCGGTGGAAGCCAGATTGCATATTGCATTTTCATTTTTGTTTGATATTTTGATGGAATTAGTCATTGGTATTTTTGTTCCAAGTCGTTCTAAATTTCATGCCTTGATCACCATGTCTAAAAATACACCTTTATTTAACTGAAATGTTAAAAATCAAACGTTACATTTAGGCATGACAGATCGAAGGTTTTTCATAGCAATTTATGTTGGCACGAGAATGACAAAATTAGTTTACAAGGGCGGCAATTTCAGGTAAAAATTGAATTGAGACTGATTTGCTTTCACCAACTAAACTTGCCATACTATGCCATGTCTAAAAATGTGACGTTTGTTAGATATTGTCTAAAAATCTGATGTTCGTTAAATACTTTGGTCCTTATATAAAACAACGGAGGGAGTGTATCCTAACCGCACCATTGAATCCCTGACTTTTCTTTCCCGCAATTAGAACTCTGTTGCCCTGTCATCTTATCTTAACGTGTGACCACCACTCACACCTCCCTATTTGTACCTCACTCTACCATTATGTTGTCACACCCTTCCTCAAGGGCAGGCACGAACTGAAGCACAGATCCCAGGCTAGAAGCATGTGGTTTGATACTTTTTTAGAAGCACAGTACAGACCGACCCAACATTGATAACACACTCTTTTGTAGTCACTGCACATACATTAGCTCTATAAGGACCTTTAAAAGACTAAACAGACATATCTTACAATTGACGAAGTCGTCATATACATCTCGTAGTCAACAGACACGGTCTAAAATAAATCCATGAAATAAGCAAACACTTGTGCTAAATCTAGAACTCGGACAAGTTGGTTTCATCATAAGGAAACTAGTCATCTAAGGTATGCTTAGTTCATGGGTTTCATGCTCATTTTTAGACTCCATCGCTTGTGTCGCTCCCAGGAGAGCAGTTCGGGCGAAACCCTAGTCGTTGCCCCCACCTATCCTCCCATATAACCAACTGCCCTCATTGGAGGAAGCTGGCGGGTAAAGCCTCACGCGACGGACGGAGGTCAACGGGTCCTCGTCTCTTCTCGCCGCGGGAGGCCTCTGACCAAAGCATGGCGGTCGGCCCTTGATGGCGGACACATCTGGCAGAGCATGGACACCGGGGCAACGACCCCAAGATTATTCGATGGTGGCTAGGCTGGTTTAACGGTGAGGGCAGCGATCCCAGCGTCGTTGCGGGCCTACGAAGTAGGGACGGCGGTGGCTTGCGGTAGGATGGTGGTGGCTCCCAATAAGTACTGTTGTGTGGCAACGTAGCTGGTAGCTTGTCAAGTGGTGCGGATCTGGCCGTGATATGCTCGTTTTTGTCGTCATCCCATGGTGGCGTAGGAGTTTGGCAATAGGGGTGGTGGCCCTAGTTCTTCAACGACGGCGTCCTCCGTGCTCGTGAGGACGACACGACGATTGGGTCTCGAGATGGTGAAGGCCTTCCGGGGTTGGCGGCGGGATGTTCGCGCCAACTCTAGGATCCGACTCGGCAGGATCTTATGCATGACGACTCTTGCGGCTACGCCAAGTCATGCTCGTCGTTGGTTGGTGCTATGGACGATGACTAATGTGGAGGCGCCAAGTTATACCTGCAACCGACTGGTGCTACACTCGTTGGCTCCTATGCCTATAGAGGTGATAAGTCATACATCTTGTTGTTGGACCGAAAGTGGTGTGACAATGATGGGAAGTGGTATGGAGCATCTTTGTCTTCCGGTATCTCCTACAGAGGTAATCGATCGAGACGTCGGTAGCCAGTCAAGGGTAATGTAAGATGCGGCTTCAACAACAAGTTTGCGTAATCCGATGAAAACACGAGATCTCTGATCAGGCTACGTTGATGCGTGCTTGCGTCGTGCCCTTGCTGAAAGTGGTGGACCGAAACTCAATTTGGGGATAAAAGTCCCGGGACTGGCCTATAGTTGGACTCGCCACTATCGGCGCACGTGCGGCGTTTTCTTCCTCGAAGGCTTACCTAGGATATGTGTACTTTTTGTTTGTTTCGGTCTATTCACATAAGGCTAGTGGTTAACTTGTGAAGCTACTGCCGTGGGGCACATGACCTTCGGGTTTCTTTTTCGGATCGAATTTATTCTGCTGTTG